CCAAAGCTTCCAACTCACTTATTTTGCTTGGAAGACTTCTGGCAATAGTGAAAAATCACTTTACTTCATTGTCACCTTGTGCGCTTGTATTTTGCATATTTTTTTATTTTCATACAATTAGTACCAATTCCAGTGGTTGTTTGTAACATGGGAACCTTCTTATCATTTGCCATAGCCCTCCCCCCATCTTTCCCCATTCCACCCACCAATAAGATCAGACAGGGGTCAGAACTGATACCCCATTAAAATCTAATTCTTCCTCCACCCTCAATCCTAGTTTAAATGCTCCTGCAACCTTCCCGTAATCTCTCCCCCAGCACAGCAGATCCCCTTCCATATAGGTGCAAACCATCTCTAGCATATAGGTTAGACCCCAATGAAAAGTCAGCCCAGTGCTCTAGAAACCCAAATCGTTCCCTCTTACACCAGTTCTTTAGCCATGCATTGAGTTCTCTAATCTCCCCCTGTCTTTCCTGAGTTGCGAATGGCACAGGTAATATTTCAGAGAATATCACCTTGGAGGTCCTTCCCTTCAACTTGCAGCTTAGTTCTTTAAATTGATTCTTAAGGAGCCTCCACCTTCCATGTATTCTGTCATTGGTTCCAACATGGACCAAGACAGCTGGGTCATGCCCAGCCCCTCCCAGTAATTTATCAACCTGGTCCACCACATGCCGAATCCTGGCACCAGGGAGACGGCAAACCATTCGGTTGAGGTGATCCTGGTGACAAATTATTCGATCAGTCCTTCTGATTATAGAATCTCCTACTACCACCACCTATCTAGACCTTCCTGCACTACCCTCGCCACCCCTCCTGGATGGTCTGCCCTCCCGGCTGTTAGGGATAGAAGTGACATCCAGGGCTGCCACCCCTGAGCTTCCCACCCCCACATCTTCACCCATCTTGGTAAATCTGTTTGGGTGCACAAACCTAGGGCTAGCCTTCCTTTTCTGTGAGCCTCTACCACTCCCTCTCGTTACAGTAACCCATCTTCCTACCCCTATATCTCTGATAGGCCGCATGATGCCCCTTTTTACCCTCGCTCCCACCCTTCCTCTAGTAACTCACTCTTCCCCTGACTCTTTTCCTTTCATCCTTCCTTCCTTCCTTAGATTTCTCTGATATACAGTGGTGTATTAGCACAGATAGTTTGTGGTGCTAGGCTCCTGGGTCATATTTCACAAGGATCACTGTCTTAGTGATGCTTGTGTATTTTCTTGCCTTTTGTAGGGGTTTCCCCTGTGTGCTTCAATTTCTTTTCACAATCTAAAAACATACTGATACGGTAAATGGATTTTGCCTAAACCTGCTCCAGTATGCATGGACTGTGACGGTTTCATTAACATAATTAACCTTAGATTACCAGCTCCACTAGAGCAAGAATTGAAAGAAAGTGAATGGTGCCATGTTCTCTCAAAAGCTAAACATAATACACAGGTTCTTTGTAAATAGATAAAATAAATATTGCTGAAAAATACTTTATATTGGCTCTATTTTGTTTAAATTCACCAATCACTTTTTCATCAGTAATTTAAGTAGATGTAATTACATAAGTCACTCCCTCTCCTAAAGAGAGAGGGAGCTCCTTAACTTAACTATGAAAAATTAGGTCAACGTCATCTCATGTTGAACTAAATGCATCAAATACACTTTTTTCCTTTTAAACCAAACAAGCTGGTTCTGGCATGTTTGGTTTGGCTGCAGCAGTACCATGTAGAAGTGCCTGTGCATAGCTTTTAAATGACCACTCTCAACACTGGCGGTGTCCTGAATCAGGGCAGTTATCACGGCAGGGCTTCACCTCATGTCAGAGTTGCCCCCTGTTAACTGGTGATTTGATGACTGATCAGGAAGCAGCAGTAGATGTGCAGAAAGCACAGATCAATATAATATATTTGGCAGAAGCAGGGAGATGCATGCACTGCAGGTCATCAGGTAAAACTTCCTTTCCAGCAAGCCCTCAGTAGAACAGTGACAGAGTGACATCACCAACAGCAATTTCAGACAGTGCCTTAGATGATCTTACATTGCAGATACACCGTTTCAAAACTATAGAACAGGAATGTCTAGGTAGAGTCACATCTGAATGTACACAGCTATTTTATTTTAGGAGGAATTCAAGACAAAAGATAATTATTTTAGGAGATTTTTTGGGGATTCTTTTGGAGATTTTCACTGTAAAACAGCAAATCTTCACTTGAGATCAGGTCAACTTTAAGTTCCCATCGCCTTTCCTGTAAATTATCTATATAGAAACAGCACACTCTCAATACAGGTGATATAAACAGAGTCTGACATCTGTCACATTGTCGAATTGGACCCCACCTATCACCCACTTATTGTCATTTGGGGGTTATTTACTAAAACTGCATATAAACCAATCAGCTTCTAGCTTTTAATGGCAAAGCTTAATTGAACAAGCTGAAGTTAGAAGCTGACTGGCTACCATGCACAGCTGCACCATATTTTTTTAGTTTTAGTAAATCTCCCAATGTATGTCTACCAAATCTGATACCTAAGAGTGGACTCACACTATAGTGGTACAGGAAATAACATTTGATTTGGACAGGAATCGCACTGCATTGCTGTTAAAATCACATGCAATTATTTGCATTGTGATTTGAGCCCATTTATTTTTTATGGGCTCAGTTCACCCTGCACCCACATGAAAAAGGTGCAGGAACAATTTTTTTTTCTGCACCAAATTCAGATTGCATGGGTTTTCACAAGCATTCAATCCAATTCTTGCAATTGCACTGTGTTTTGCAATCTGTTTTGGGGTGTCATTAATTTAACACTGATGCACCGCATATATGTGGATTAGGTCTAAAGGTATTATGATTTTCCATAGAGTACAGTGAACTTTTTAAACACACTTGGCATTATTGTTCATATACGGTATGTATATAAAAACAGAATGTCTTAATCAGCTGTAAAGACCTTATAATTCACAGTAGGTTATACATTATCCCATATATGCTTGTCATTCATCAGCTGTTTTGCATTATTCATTTCCACTTACATTTGCTTTGTAGTCCCTTTCACAGTTTGCATTTGTTTCAGTCATTGTTTCGCTATCTCTTGGTATCCCTGTATCTGTGTTTTTTTTGGTCTGTACAGTAAACAACAAGCAGCTCAGAGAGAGTTCATTTAAGGTAAGGAAGGCTGGCAATTTGGAATGTTCAGGAGATACTGTATGCAGATGCACACTGCATCATCATCTCCTCCATCATACTGATTAAAGGAATACTAGCTTATCTGAAGGGTGTCAGCTTTATATTCATTAGGAAATGACAGGGTAAAAATGAATAACAGAGATTACAAGGTAAGTTGTAAGAACTCTTGATTTGCATTGTAAAAGCAGTATCTAGAGCTTTCTAATTAAGCAACATCTGCTTAAAAAAATCACCAAGGAAATTAAATTTTGGGAAATGTTTGTAAAAATGGCAAAAGAGAGGTGAATAATTGTCACTCATTAGCCAATTTGGTAACAGCTGGCTGTTATTTGGTATACCTCCACTTACCATTTGATATACTGAGCTGGAATTTGTTCTTTTATTATTATTATTATATACAGGATTTATTCAGCGCCAACAGTTTGCACAGCACTTTACAATATAACGGGAGACAAAACAGCAACAATACAGTCCAATACAAGAGGGTTAGGAGGGCCCTGCTCCTTGGAGCTTACAATCTAAGAGGGAGGGGCTAGTGGTACAAAAAGTAGTAACTGTAGGGGATGAACTGGTAGGAGGAGTAGAAGATTCCATTATTGGCTGAGGGCAGGATAGGCTTCCCTGAAGAGATAGGTTTTTCAGAGATCGCCTAAAGGTGAGCAGAGTAGGCGATAGTCTGATAAATTGGGGTAGAAAGAGGAAGGGGGAAGCTCTGGAGAAGTCCTGGAGATGAGCATGGGGGGAGGAGACAAGGGAGCTAGAGAGCAGGAGGTCGTGCAAGGAGCGGAGAGTACGGTTTGGGTGATATTTGGAGACAAGATTGGAGATGTAGTTTGTGGCAGAGTTATACATGGCTTTATATGTTCTTTAAAGTGGACTTTGCCACAAAATATAAGCTCCACTTATTAGGTCTGCCCCCCTCCGTAGAAAAACTGATGACTAATAGTACTTGTAAAATGTACCTGTAAAAGAAAAAAGTTTGACTAAATTCTTAACTTACTCCAGTCTCATGACTGCAGTGATGTCATGCTCTTTTCAACAAAAACCTGGGAAATGCAGAGCAGCTGAAATCTTGCAAGAAGACACTCTTTCACTGGGCTAAAGTGTCTTCTCGTAAGGTTTAGGGTACTCATTGTTCCCCAGGAAGATAGCTGGAAGGGTTAGAGACACCATACCCTGCAATAAGGAAGGCATGCAGGTATACAATCTAACTTTTTTTTCTGTTACATTTTTCAAATACTGTTAGGTAGCACTCAAGTTCTCTTACAAGAGTAGGGGGCCCCAACCTCATAAGCGCACCTTGCACTTTATTGCAAGGTCTCTTAAATCCATTTATCAGGTTACAAAATATGAATATTGTTCTCTTTATATTGTAAGGAGCAATGTGGGAGGAGGTATAAATCTGAATACCCCTGTCCTTGGCTTCACATGTTAGTCTACTTGAAGGTTCACTGGTTATTCCATGATTTTTTTTTTTATTCATGTGATCTGTGTCACAACATTTCTCATAGATTTACAGTATTATGAGAAATCTCATTGACTCTCAATGTTGCTGAGCCCTGAGGGGTCCGGAAATAACCGACTGAGCTTAATATTGGAGAAATGGAAGCACAGCGGTAAATCAGTTCTGTTTCTTAATGTGACCGTCTGTTCTGGAGTACTTTTTCCAACTTTAGGTGTCTTCTTCTTAATTTTTTAAACAATCAACTTTATCCAAAGGTGTCACTTTGTTCTTTTTTGACATTTTAAACATTGCTCTTAATTTAAAGTTTTTCTCAACAGCTTTGATGCCAAAGTGCCCTTTCTCTTATTTCTCCACAGAGGTGTTTGTACGCAGGCCCCATGTTACTGTCTTATTATGGAGTACTGTGCCCATGGACAGCTTTATGAGGTACTCAGGGCTGGGCGCAAGGTAACCCCAAGACTCCTGGTGGACTGGTCAACTGGGATTGCTAGTGGCATGAACTACCTCCACCTGCACAAGATCATTCATAGGGATCTCAAATCACCCAAGTGAGTATTTTTCTTTTTAGTAAGAGCACCATGGTAATCCTCTCAAGTGTTTGAGATTAGCACAGAGTCTATTTGGGGTTTAGTAATTTCAGTGACATGTCACTATGGGGGTTATTTACTAAAACTACATGGTTCAAAATCTGGTGCAGCTCTGCGTAAAAACCAATTAGTTTCTAGGCTTTATTGTCAAAGCTTAATTCAACAAGCTGAAGTTAGAAGCTGATTGGCTACCATGCACAGCTGCACCAGATTCTGAGTGCACCAGTTTTAGTAAATCTCCCCCATGTATCATGAGTCCAGTGATTGCATTTCAAGTCAAACTCCAATTTTGTTTGGAAAACAAACAGTCGACTCTAGCTAAACTATATAAATGGTACATGCTTTAGCATTTTTTTTGCAGATTTACACCTTTCTTTGTTCTGAAAAAGATGGAGTTAGAATTTCTATATATTTTATTGAACAAATTTCAATGCTGTAGTAACAGAAGCTACAGTGTCTACACTCTTTAGGTGAGGGACCTTAACCTCCCTGGAGGTATTCCCGAGTGTAGCTCGGGGTAAAGTTTCAGTACCACAAGCGGTAACCCCGAGCTACACTCGGGCTTACCATGCGGTGCTGCTCTGGGATCCCTCGATCACTTACCTTGTCCTGCGGTCCCGCAATGTCCCTCCTACAGTGTCCCTGGCAATGTAATCCGGCAGATGCCGGCATCTGTCATCTGGGTTCCGTCCCCTGCGAGCATCGGGACGTATGGGGGACGAAACGGCGGGAAATTTGAAAATGACAAAAAGTTTCATTCACTAAAATCATTAAAATCACATAGTAAAACATTACTGTATCAAACCATTTCACATACATTTTGTCCCTAGTGCTCTGTCCTGTGCCCTGCCTGCATTTTTACTGTTCTTTCTGCCTGGAAACTGAGAAACGTCCATGGTGTCCAAAAAGTGTCCCTTTAGGTCAAAAGCGGTTTTAGACCAGCTAGAGAACAGCGATAGTAAATCAGAACCACTTGCAGAATTGAGTGATAATGATTCGTGGGGAAATTCGTCATCAGACACTGAAAACGATTTTGCGACTTTGCTCAGTGATATGTGAACTTGGCGCTATATTTCAAATTTCAGTGTTTTTGGTTTGATTATATTATTGAATTAAATTTATTATTATTATATTATTTTTTATGATTATTTATTAAATTATAATTTATGATTTCGTGTTTCAAGTTTTATGCTACCCGGGATGTTTACTAGACTCTTGTTCGGACAGATTTCAGTGAGTTATTCCTAAAAATTACAGGCCTACAATAAAAAAAAAAACATATTTCCATGCAAAAAAATGTACCGCTTTGAGCACAGAAATATGGACATAATCATACCGCTAGGGAGGTTAAGAAGTATTTTGTCAGAAATAAAACTCCCATTGGTTGGGATACAGTGAAATTTAGCTTGTCTGTGAGTGTGGCTTTTTCGTTGAGCAGATTCACAGATTAATTAAAGCAGGAAATGAATAGTCATATTGGGTTCTATACACATACAATAACTGGGGTGCCTCCAAGAGTAAGGAGAAAAAGAGGCAACAACAGAGGCTGTCGGAGAGTTCCATATAGTGTAGTGGTTTAACAGATGGTTAGGTGAGAAGAAGAGAAGGTAAACTGCTATAGTATACTCACATCTGAGGTTGCTGAGCTCCCTAATGGGGAATCAGACAACCTGAAGTGAAAACCTGCAGGGAATATAACTGTCTCTGTGCAGAGGAAAGTCGCACTCATGCTCAGTTTGGGAGAGACAGATAATCCTAAGCACTGCGGTCTCTAGATTCCGGTGTATAAACAGTAAGAGGTCTTTGAGACCCCAAAATGGGAAAGTGGTGTCAGCAGAGGCGCCTGAATGTGAAGGAGAAGCTGAGAAGTGGATTCTTCGAAAATTCAATATTTATTACTCACAGAACAGTACAAAAACACTGTCAACTCTTGGTTTCATGGCACTGCATTAGCCACTTCCTCTGGATGGTGCATAAAACACTTTAAACAGCTGTGATGTCCCTCCTGCTGTTTGTTAGCATAATTCTGTGAGCAATATATATTACATTTATGAAGAATCAATTTCTCAACTTCTCTTTCACATTTGGACGCCTATGCTGACACCAAAATATGCATAGAATGCACACAATACCTTTGGGTTGTCATACTGCAAGGAAGCAACATTTAATTTTTTTCAGCAGCTTTAGAAAATCCCAATGGCTGCAGAAAAAATGTAAAAGAAACTTTAATCATACCAAATATAATGACTTGTAGTAGTTATGTATTTTTTTTATATTTATAATGAAGTGTTCACTGTTTGTTTATTGCTCAAAAATCAATTGATAAATCACTGTTGTTTACTGAGTTAGATTTAGCTATAGGGTCTTTCAAAATAAATAAATCTTCCGCTCTAATATAGCAGATGGGATTTAAAAAATGGATATAATGATTAAAAAGGCATATTTGTATTTTTCTAAACCTGGCCCTTTGTACATTGCAAATGAATATTTATTAAGATATTGATATATTTTTCCTTCACAGTGTCCTAGTCACGCACACAGACACAGTCAAAATTTCGGACTTTGGAACATCCAAAGAACTTAGTGACAAAAGCACCAAGATGTCATTTGCTGGCACTGTGGCATGGATGGCTCCCGAAGTCATCCGCAATGAGCCGGTCTCGGAAAAAGTGGACATCTGGTTAGTATGAACCATATGGCTATGATCTGTAGTAATTTACAGTGTACTGTTTATTTCTAGGCAGTGGTGTTAAACATTTAAATGACTTTGATGTTTGTCTTGTTTGAAATAACAGGCAAATCCCTTACTGATTTACACACAAGTCTTATCTTAACTTTTGTGGTTTTACTGCATATTAAACATATTGTATTTATTCAATATACATTTCATGCACATCACACACCTGGTTTTGCAGAATTTCAGTTGTAATAAGTGCCATAGACAATATTTGCTGCCTTTGGCACCTAAAGTATTCTCAATAGTAGCAAAACCAATGGTAATATTGTCATAGTAATCACAATTTTCATCTTCCTCAAGTGCTTGATCAATTTAGAAAGCATTACCATAGAAATAACATAGTAAACATTGGCACTGGGCTGTGAATCCTTACAAAAGTTAATTATTAAAAATGATATAAAATTACAAACAGGACAATAATGTTAATGCATTTCAGCCTCTGAAGGCTGATATCATGCTATAATTAAGGCAGTATAAACTGAAACATGTCAGCGGGATTGTCATGTTTGGAATCATATGCCATTTTAATGAATAAGCATTGGTAAGGATCTGGTGCTAAGTGCTAGTGTTTTTCTACACTTAGTATGATTTGGGCAGACAGGAGCCATTAATGAGCACCAGAGTTCCATGACAGCCCCATTAGAATGCAGAGGTGGAGAAGTATTTTCTCATTTGCTTCCATAGAATGACATGGCCACTATAACTATATAGTTTACAATAACTGATCAAAGGTATTCATTATTAAGGGTTATTTGGTTTTGCTTTGAAGATTCACTGCTTTTACATTCCTCTCTCTCTATACTCCTTTGTTGCTGCAACAGCATGCTTGCCCTTGTTGGCTTCACTGGATTGTCTTTTAACTTGTAAGATAAACAGCAATGGGAGAAAGGGAAGAAGTCCCACAATTCAAGAATCTATTAGGCTCCAAGCACACTGGGCGTTTTAATAACGCTGGTAACGTTAGCTGTATAAAGTCACGTTAAAAACCTGAGTTTTACAGCGTTGTTTTAGCGTTTAGCTGTGTTTTTTCACGTTTGCATTTATTTAGCAGTTTTGTTTGCTCAAAAAAGTTCAAAAATGCAGTTTTACCGCGTTTTCCAGCGTTTTTCAGCGTTAGAGCGTTTTTACAGCTAGAAAACTCCTCTAGAATCCCACTAGTTCTGTGTTTTTTTTTTTCCAGCCAAAGAACGTACCTGCCAAAAAATGTTGATTACAGTCTATGTGTGCATGGACACATTGGATAACATGCTGGGGAGTTTACTGGCTGTAGAAAAAAAACGCCAAAAGCCAAAAACAGCAGCTGTGAAAACTTCCAGTATGCATGAGGACTTTTTAGAGTGTTATACACTAAGGTCCACATGTATGAAGGGATGCTCGATCTGTATTTTCGTAGCAGAGGGATGATTCTCAAGCATAACATGTATGTCTCAGGAAACCAGCTTGTATAGTAATCATACTCTTTTATGGTGCACATTGTTTTCTGTAGAGGAGTTACATTATAAAGCATACCATTTTCTTACATGTCACAGAGCTATAGCAATGCTTCAGCTACACCCCACCCCCTTTTACTGACATGCTGCAGCAATCTGGGGCAAAAGGAAAGATTACCATTTTATACATGTGCCCAATGTATTCCAGTTTCTCTAATTTTAAAATAGTATTCTTTGCACATGTAGCTAGCCTTATGTAATAAAGTAGTGCAAAGTGCAGTGGTTATGTGCAAAGTGCAGCATTCAAGCAATCAGCTGCCATCTTTCAATTTGGAATTGTCTTTTTGCAAACTTTTTGACCACCTATTTAGAATTATACCTGTGTTCGGCTGCATCATTTTTATGTCCTTTGCACTTTGCTCGTGCCTTCAGTAACATATCTTTGGTGCTCCAGGTCTTTTGGAGTTTTGCTATGGGAACTATTGACTGGGGAGATCCCGTACAAGGATGTGGATTCATCAGCCATTATCTGGGGAGTGGGCAGCAACAGCCTGCATCTTCCAGTTCCTTCTACCTGCCCTGATGGCTTCAAAATCCTCATGAAGCAGACATGGTAAGAATGATTGTTATCGTACTACAAGGTTCATGTTGATATAGGTGAAACTAACAATTGTTAAGGTTTCTATGTTGTCAGAGTGGGTGTTCTTCATACAAATTATACCTCACTTCTACGTCACTTAGTCAGTGTTTCAGATAGGACATATCATAGTTATTTTTACATTTCACACAAGCTTACCCTTTTTTAACTCTGGGGATCCAGACTGTATTTATGCTTCATGCGGTAATAGGCACATATACAATGTGGCACTTTAAATTTCGCCAATTTAACATCCCACTGCCAATTGTGATGAAAAGAAAACTCCATGCACTCAAAAAAAAAAAAAACATCCAAAATGTTAATCCACAATAAATATATGTTCAAAATGTAAACACTTGATAACATTATAGTCTTGCTGCATTGTAAATTAAATAAAGTAAAGCCCTTTCTTTATATACTTAATCCTCATTAAATTTGCATCTTCAAACCATGTGTCCCCTACATCTCAATGGAAAAAAAAATGCTTGTAAAACTTCCGTGGCTTCTGAACAGCGCTAAAAAAAAATAATTAACAAAAAGTGTGAAACCCTTTATTACAAAAAATATGTTAAAGTGCCAAATGAATCCACTCATTTGTACAGTATGTGAGCATCTGAAACATTTTGAGGGGAATTTACAAAGACTGGAGCAGACAGAATTAGGTGCAACTGTGCATGGCAAACCAATCAGCTTCTATCCTTCATTTTCAAAGATTAACTAACCAAGCTGAAATTAGATGCTTATTGGTTGTAATGCACAGCCGCTCCAGATTGTGTCTGCTCTGGTTTTAGTAAATCCCCCAGTTTATGCTCAGAGCCCAGGCAGAATTCTCTCATCTACGTTATCCTTTAAGCCTACACCCACTCGTACACCTTTAGGTGCTGCAACATTTTAGCTCATTGTTTAAAGGGTTAGTTCATCCATTCATTTTTGATGAAAAGGTGAACTAACACCCTACACCCTCCACCCTCCACACTCCCCCCAGTCTGCACTGTACTTACTTCCATAGGTGAATTCACACAGCCTGGTGCAACAATCCTGGGGTTTAAAAACTGAGCTGGTCTTCCTCTTCTTTTTCTAGGGATGTCAAGATGGATCAGAGCAGTTCTGATTGGTCAGCATTGGCACATGACTGCAATGACCAATCAGAACTGTTCTAATTCATGCTGGCATTCCTGGGAAAAGAAGAGGAAGAATAGTGTGGTTTTCAAATCCCAGGACCACTGAACTGGGCTGTGTGTATAGTGAAACTGTATCATCCACAGGAGTAAGTGCAGAGGGTGGGTGGGAAGGGTGTATAGGTGAACTGACCTTTTAAGTTCCACTTCCACTCTGATGTCACGAGACTCCACTAAAAAACAACAGACAGAGGGCATAAACGCTTTATTGTTAAAAAAAAAAAAAAAAAGGAAATGATATACTCACGAACACATAGTGTTGATAGGCATAGCAATAAGTCAAGATGTGACTTGTCAGATGTCCAACACTTGACTTTTAGCACAAGCATACCCTTCAGTGTCCAATATGGCTAATGCCTTTCGAGAAGCAGCCTTTTTCTTCAGGGCTCTGGAGAAGAAGGGTTGCCCCTCAATATGCATTAGCCTCATTGGAGCTGAAGGGTCTTCCCATGCTACAAGTCAACCGTTGGAAATCTGGCAACAGTCAAAACATGATTATTTGATATGCCTATAAACACTATGCATTTGTGAGTATATAACTTGCTTTTATTTATCAATAAAGTATGCTCTAGGCCAGTGCGCTCTCTGTCTGTTGTTTTTAGTGCTGCATGCGAAGGGACACTCAAAGTCCTAGGAGGGTGGCAAGGCATTACAGCACCAGACCGTAGGTTGGAACAGTGGATAACCTACCAAACTCTAGGCACCACAATTGAGCACATCATTATTTTACTGTCACAAGGCTGCAGCCCAATGTGTTTTGTCTCGCTTTTCTATAACTTTCTTGCTAGGCACACTGGAGGCCTGTATTTTGCATTCATGCTGCTCTAGGCACACATGGGTGATATTCCCATTCAAACAAGCTTCACGTTTTCCCAGCAGCCATGCACTATATTTCCTATTGTGAACAATAACCATAATGTGCTATTTGAAGCGGAATGTTTTATATACAGGGCTCTTATATTCCATAATTGTACAGCCTTGAAAGATACAGGAGGGGGCTACATGTTATTAGTCCACAGAGAGGCTTGTGGCTTTTCTATGCAGACACTATATCCCCCCCTCCCCACCCCTCCCTGTCCCCTTTGTATTTCTGCTGGATACAACTCTTTGTTCATGCAAGTGTAGTTTCCCTCTGCAATCAAAGGCATGTTAAAAGAGGTAGCAAAAAAAAAAGATGTATTGTGCCCTCAGTTTTTCATGTTGTTTTCTATTTTAGTTTATGTAGTTATAAAGTCATAAACCCATAACCAGTTTGTTTAATTCATTTTACATGTGTTTAAATGCATTTACTTGCATTTACATGCATATTTATGCATTAACATCACAGAACATTTAATATCAGCTGACATAAGTTTCCTACAAATTTTGCTTTTAAGTAAAATGCAGATAAACATATTGCACAAAGTCACTCATCATGTCTACGATAAGAAGTAAAAACAGTAAGAACTATAAAGTGACAATAGAATATAATTTTCTAAAGGAGTAGAGGCTGAACAGCAAAGTGCATATTTAAGAGGCAGAGTGTATGTTCACTTAGATTAGGTAAAGCGGTATCCACTTTGAACATCCAGTCATATGCAAAGGAAATGACAAAACATGTAGTTTGCAGATTACTGGATTATTAAAGTAAACTCCACTTCACCTTATTCACAAATCTACAGCAACATTCTAGGAAAAACATTAATTTTCCTGAAGGAACAGCCTATTTTAGTAAATTGTTTTCGTAAAAACTAAGTCCTTGCAAGACTTCACCCTATACAAATCTGCCCCTCTAAAAAAGCCTTGTTTGCCACTTTCATTAACACCCTTTTGTGATGAAATCCTCACTGTCCAGCCATCTCCCCCAAGCTACATACCATGTCCACCACCACATTCATTCCTTTCCTCTTTTGAACCTGTTACCATTGAGGAAATAGCTACACTTCTTTCTGATGCTCACCTTACCACCTGTCCCTTGGAACCAATTTTCTCACAACTAAATAGGTCACCAACCTGCTCTATTCTACACTCTTCAACTCATATCTTCAATCTCTCCCTGTCTACTGGCATTTTCCCCACTGCTCTCACACGTTCACTGGTCATCCTCATACTTAATAAACATCCTCATTCACCCCCACCATTTTGAAAAACATAAGATTTATCTTCCTGCTCCTGCCTTCCTTCAAACGTCTTGAACGCCTTGTCTAAGCTGCTTGCTCAGTGATAACAACCTTCTCAACCCCTTAAAGTCTTGTTTCTACCTGCAACATTCCATTAAGACTACCCTCCTAGAATTAATTGGTCACTACTCCATACTCATACAGTACTCTTTACCTTTCAACTGCCTTTGGTACAATGATCACCTGCTCCTCCTCACAAAACTCCACTTATTGGCTTCCATGACATTGCTCTTACCTGGTTCTCCTACTGCCTATCTCAGTGCACCCTTAGTCTCACCTAAACTCTATCTCCACATCTCCTCTTTCTCTTACCATTGGAGTCCCCCAAGGCTTCCACCACTTCTATCTCTATTCCTGAGTTCACCCCTTTAATCTCATTGCGTATTACTAATTTAATGACTGACATAGCATGGACGTCACAAACACTTCCTCAAATTTAATCATTCAAAAACCAAGCTCAGAATATCCCCACCCCGCTCCAGGATTCCCTTCCCAAGACTTTAAAATCAAGACCAACAGCAAAACCTTCAGTCCCTCAATTAAAGCAAAGGTGCTAGATGTAATCCTAGACTCTGACCTCTCCTTTGTGCCCTACATCCAATCACTGACCAAATCTTTCCTTCTTAAGCTCCATAACATTTTCAAAATATTTCCCTTATTAGCTAAGGACACCACAAGGCTACTACTCACTGGTTATCTCCTGCCTTGACCATGAAACCCCCCTTTTAGTTGGTCTACATTTAGGGGGTATCCCCCCCTTCAGTGTACCTTATTAACTGATCTGTGGCTGCTGCCCCTCCTTGCCAGTCTCTCCAATGCTTCTGCTACCCCAACATATAAAACAACACACAAAGTCATCCACAACTCTGCACCCAGCTAGATCACCAGCATCATCTCAAAATATTACCCAGACTGTCTACTCCACTTGTCCAAAGACCTCCTGGTCTCTAGCTCCCTCTTTATCTCCTCACATGGTTACTTCCACAACCTCTCCAGAGCCTCTTCCATCCTCTGAAACCCACTACCCCAGTAAGTCTGGCTATCTCCTACTCTGCCTGTAGGCGATTGCTGAAAACTCATCTCTTCAGGGAAGCCTATCCAGCTGCCACTTAGACACTTGCCTCTTCCTTTAAGATCGAAAACTCCCTCAAACAGGACTCTATGAATCCTTGTGTATCAAATTGTATTGTAACTGTTCTGTGCCCATTCAATTTATAAATGTCTGCACAAACTGTTGGCACTATAAAAAACCTGAATAATAATAATAATAATATATAAATCATAACAATGATATCAACCCATAACCCAAATAGAGCAGCTACACCTGGAAGGTTGCTTACACTAAATGATCAACAATGTTTCAGGTATAAATGGAGACAGTAACCAATTGACATTATTGCACAAGAAAGTGAGAACTAAAGTGGAGTTGCACCATTATCTTCCAGTCCCAAAAGTGACTTATGACAAATGTGGCACTCCTCGTGTTGCCTTGCATTAAACTTTTAATACTTGTTTAATTCATGAAATAGATTTGAGTATAAATCAGACAGCATATGCCACACATTCTTGCCCTTCTCAAACATTTACATTTATTTACAGTAACTATCTCAACTAATCAATTCAGCACCTTAATTCTAAACATTACTCCTCTATGCACAGAGATGCATTAATTATACATCCTTTTAACATAAATTACATAAGCAGTAGCAAGCACTGAATATATATATATATATATATATATATATATATATATATATATATATATATATATATATATATATATATAAATTTAAAACAGAAAATGTTAATTACAGATTATTACACCAGTGATGTGCTGTTGATTTCTGATCGAAGTTTCTATTGTTAAGCTCAGTTTTTAAAGGATCAGCAGACATGAAATATTTTACATTCTTCCACATTTATATCTTTGTGCGTTTGTTTTCCCTGAATAGAAATTGAATAATAAAATAGCTGCAGTCATCAAAGAGATTATCCTGTTTAAAAAAAATCCTTAGCTGCTGTCCCCAATTCGCCTGTCACTTCCTTTGTGGCAAACTGAATCACATTTCGGTGCAGTTAAACGAGAGTCGGAACATAACACATTGAACTCTAATATTAAGATGATCAACAACAGATTCACAACAAACATTTCTGCATTCAGTATTGAACAGTAATCCTGGATTTTGTACTGACATGTTAGGAGTTGTGGAATAGCTTCATTGTTAGTATGATGCAAATTAATCAAGGATTTACATTTTTAGGCAAAGCAAGCCCAGAAACCGGCCATCATTCAGGCAGATTCTTATGCACCTGGACATTGCTTCAGCTGACGTCCTAGGAACTCCACAAGAAACGTATTTTAAATCACAGGTATCTCTCCTTGAAGCAACTGTATTTTCTGTATTTATTGAGACTTAAAATTCTGTAAATCTGTAAATATCCTATTTATGTCTGGTCCACTGTCTGTATTTTCTGTGTAATCTGTTATCTGCCATATATGGATATTCTTAGGCCGCAAATACAAATCTTACTTTTAATCACATTGCTGTAAAATCTGAGATTTTAAACGATAAGTTCACCAATTTGAAAAAAAATAATAAATGCACTTATTTTTGCAGGAAAAACGTGCATTATTTTTTTTCACAGGATCCTGCAGAGCATTGCACCCTTGATCAGTGGACCGCAGGTACAATGTCAGGCTTCTGCACACATTGCCTGTGGCTCTGTTGCCCATACCTCTGTATGGGATTGGTGTGAATGGACAACGAGCACCCTGATCAGAATGCTTGCAATCCATTTAGAACTTCAAACTGTCTGCCTCAGTAGTGGATTGATCAATGTGAATGAATTATGTGGCTGTGTGGGTTAAGCCGCACTGTTTTCAAAATGTGAGAGCAAGTGTGGGAAGAAAATCCCCTGCCACCTGCCACAGTGAAGGGGGTGGGGTTAGGGGTGCAGGGGAAGATCTAGAGCATGTCACACGTGAAATCCTAAATATGGTTGTAATGTATTACATGCTCCAGAAAGTGAACTTAGCCTTTACCCCCGGTCACATCAAAGCCGATTTTGAAATCGTGACTTTTTGTGAAATCGCACGATTTCAAAATCGAGTGACCTGCCGATTTCATTGCAATTTGCAAGACATCTGACACAGATGTCTATGCAAATCGCAACAAACCAAGCTGTCCAGACAAAGTAGCAGCTAGGGTGTTGAGACAAACCATTTATTACTGACAGATGTGCTTATAATGATCAGCTGTTATTCATTTATGTAAGACCTTTATCTCAAAAGGAAAAAAAAAAAACTATTTGCTGTAATATCTTATAAAGTGTCAGCTTCAATTTGCAAGGCCATTTAAATCTGCTAGTCTATCACTAGCCTCTCCCCAGAATGACAAGGCTACTGTCCAAAGGTGTCTGCTTTAATACATCTTCCAGAATGCAGACACCCTAAGACATGAAGTGTGTTACTGGCCAGATCATTGCATTAAAATACATAAATGTATAGAGTGACTATAGGTGCAGGCACTCTTGAGAGGTTGGATAAGGGTCTTAAGATCAGTAACGTGACAATCTGTAGAAATATCATAGTCACATATAAGATTCATCTGTCATGTTTGTATATTAGCAATCTTTCCTTTATGCAGTACATGCACTACTTCATGTGGCATATATGGAATTACCCTATTTCCTTTACTTACTGTGGGCCTTTTGAACATAGCTGTTGGAATGTCTGTGCACATCCAACCAAACACTGTAGATACCGACATAAAATTGAGGAGTTGAATGGTTGCTGGTTGCAGCTAACCTTCTGTCAGGTAATATTGATCACTAGGTCCTATGTGTGTAAAGTACAGTACTCAAAACAAGTGTAAAACTGTGACAATAAATAAGATATAGTACTGTTGTGCTTAGGAATAGATATTCATGCAACTTTGATAAGTATACGCTGCAGTCCTAATTTGTGAACCAAGAACACAAAAACAAAATACAATATGGACCGTGCATAAAATAAGTGCATTAAATGTGACAATACATGAGTAATATTGTTTCACATATGCAAAGTGAATAATTGTAACATTCAGTCCCAATACAGAAAAATAAAATGTCCAGGTGTTGACAGTATGGGTACCTATCTATATATAAATATAGTATGGAGTTGAAGATCGACCCTAAATCCCCCTTAAGGGGGAACTCCAACTATACAATGGATAAAACTAAACTGGTTTTAGTGTTACTAATAAGTACTCTTGGGATTTGATATCAGACCAAAACCCCCCATACAGTAATGGCCTTAAAGGGGAACTCTGAATATATTATTAAAAAAGGCATGGTGCCATTCTTACCATCACGCATTGAGCTAGTCCCAAACCAGGCGCTTAAGACCAACCTAGAGATAGGTGGTCCACGGCTGACGGTGAGTGCACATGCATATGGAGCACCGGTTGAGCACAGAGGAGCACCTGTCATTTTTTGCACAAAGTTCACCAATTAGTATTCAACACCTGGGCACTTTACTCTTCCGTATTGGAACTGAATGTTACAATTATTCACTTTGCATATGTAAAGAAATATTACTCATGTATTGTCAAGTGTAAAACTGGTCTTACATGAAGCTTTGATTAATTAGAATCTTCTTGCACTTTGCTGACACCCACTGTGTTGTGCTTTTTGTAGGAATTTCTCATGGGTAGTGGTTTATAGCCAGATAAATTAATAGTATGAGAATCTTTGTGCAGGGTTCAGAAGCATACAGTTTGGTAGAGATACTTGGAAATATTGGGAGGAATTTACTAAAACTGGAGCACAAAGAATCTGGTGTAACTGTGCAACCAATTGGCTTCCAGGTTTTATTGTCAAAGCTTAATGGAACAAGCTGAAGTTAGAAGCTAATTGGTTACTAAGTACAGCTGCACCAGATTCTGTGTGTTCCACATTAAAGCCTGGTACACACGTAAGTTTTTTTTGTGCAAAAAAAAAAAAACTGGAGGAGCTTGCAGGAGATCTATGTACTAACAATGCAATGTTAGTACAGCGATCTCCCTGCTGAGCTATTGTGTTCTGACAAGGGAATTGCGCCCCCCCCCCCGACCAGAACGCACCAGTCAGCCAATGGCTGAGAGCACTGATCAGATGCTGATTGGCTGGTAGTTTTCTTGCAAGATCGTTCGACAGAAGCTGGCCAAAAGATCAGCTTCTGTCAAACAAGGACCCGTACACACGGGCTGAATGTTGGCCGGTATTGGCCTGTGTGTACGGGGCTTTAGTAAATCCCCCCTATCGATTGTTATCCTGGAAAATATCAACTAATGAAATGCAAACTCTATCTAAAAAATATGGCAGCTGTGCTGACACTGAATTTCAATGTAGTTGATCGAATAAAAGTCAGATGTATATAATACAGTGCAACCAGATTGACTGGGCTTATTATAGTGCTTAAGCAAGATACCACAGCCTCTTATTATATGATTCCTTGCTGTACAGCCTCATTCTCCTGTTGTAGCATATATGGTTGAGGTTGCATAGACAAATTGTATCTTGTGTGGTCCCATACATCTGAAGCTGTTTGTATAGCTTATAACATAGTGAGCAAATGACCACGTTTTATACAAAATAATACAATTCAATGTGCTTTAGCTGCTTTGGATCAGGTGTGGAAGCATAGCAATTCATCCATTCTTTTGTGCTGAATCCAGGCTCCTGCAGCCCCCAGGTGAGTCAGTGTGCGTCTTGAACGGTACAGATAATACGAGAGCTGATGCTGCCTCCTCATGGTGCACATGACTCAGACGTTTTCAGCATCAGCCAAAAATAGCCCTTTCTTCTGCTCTGATGACGGCTGAAGTGGCTACAGCATTCGTGAGCATATTATGCTTCTCTTGTATTGTTAGCTCCTCTAAAAGGGCTTTAATAGCTTTTGTAGAGCTGAAGTACTTCAGTTTCCACAGCCTCCCATCTTTCTCCCATTCTTTTACCACTTTAGTAATCTAGTGTGTCAGAATATCTAAAGACACTCGGTTGCCTACAGTCAAATCCTCTGTCCATTACTTGTCCTGTGTTCGTTCATTATTTGATACAAATACTTTAGTTCCTGCGTAAAACATGTATAGAATTACCAAATGGAGCGCAGGGGTTTATCTTGAGCTTGCTTTCATTTAATTAGCATAGTGTTTCTAATGCAAAACGCATGTTGTATATTAGCCAGTAGCTGCTATTACACATTGGTGGTGGGTCCAGGGTATAGGTTGCATTTCAGAACCATCCACATCTCTCCCTCCTCAGCAGTTTTGGATAAACAGGAGTTGAATGCAGATTATGATAGATGTCTATATCATATCTCAAAAGAGGAATACAGAAATTAAGCAATTTTTGATAGATGCAGAAGAGTTATCTGATTCCCTACATTTATTAGGGACTCTAGTGGTAAGATCTCTGTACTTGTGTTCCCAGTTCTGCAGTCCTACTATAGCTTTTACAAAGTCCTACTATTTCTGTTGGAATTTCCATTTTTTTATTATTGAAAATTTTATTGAAGAATTCTGAGCACCTCAAGGTTGGATGGAACATCAAAATATTCCATCTTGGCGGGTGTGAGCAGAGCCAGGAGCTCTTTGGTTGAGTTTTTACCACTATATCCCTAAAGATATGTATTGGAGTTGATTTAAAGGCAAATAGACTGTTCATTTTGCAAGGGAATTTTCCCCAGAGCTTAGAGAATGAAGTGAAGCTCTGCTGACTTCCATCATCCAATCATGTGCAATCAAGTGTTTATTTTCCTTACATGTGATTGAGTATTCTTTGCAAAATGAAATATCACTACATTCACTAAGCTCTGTGCAAAATTCCCTTGCAAATGCACCTTAGATAGTACACCCCTTGAGGGTTAGGGACTGATGTGAATGTACAATATATATATATATATGTAAAGCGCTGCGTAAATTGACGGCGCTATATAAGCACCTGAGATAAATAAATAAAAAATAAATTAAAAAAAAACTTCCCCTGCAAAGTGAAGAGACCCCCATTAAGTCAGTTCACCCATTTAGTTTTGTAATCCATGCACCCCTGGCAGGTATCACAGACAGGGTGGTGACTTTATTTTTCTCTATGTGGTGATCAACCTGCCCTTAGTCTGTGATTGGACAGTGAAGGTAGTCTTTACTCAGCTCTGTCCTTCAGAAAAAACATTCAAATTGTGAACTGATTGCAAAGTGATAGAGTTCTGGCTTATTGCTGCCCCTCCCTCTATCACCCTGAGGGTTGCTGCACAGAGGAATACAGGAGGTTTCTATTAGGTCAAAGTCCACACAATAGTAAGCACATTTGTTTCACTACCACATCATTTGTGGAATTGAACCTAACTCCTAAAAACTGTGAGTAGACCCCATAAGGCATATGCAGCTCAGTGTGCGCTGCCAGCACTCCGGCTGTGCCTGAATGAGTGACTCCTGTGCACATGCATATGATGATGTCATCCCAAACCAGCTAATCAGGAGGCCAAAAACCTGGAACCTGAAAGTATCTGAAGATATGACAGTAGCCAGTGAGTGATATAACCACCACAGGTGGAGGCAAGTATTTTGAGTGGTTTAGTTCTGCTTTAAGCATGTAGTAGTCAGTCACAGCTTGATAGAAGGCAAAATGGTTGGAACCAAGGATTCATTCACACTTGTGCATCTTGTCATGAGACTTTGAACATCAAAGTCACATGACAAGTTGCAACCCATTCTATTCAATGGCACCGGTTCGAGTTGGTGCAACTTAAAGTCACAGCAACTTTGAAAAGGTGCTTGCACTACTTTGGTGTGACCTTTGATGTGACTGTGGCCCAGAAAATGTAAAGTTGGATCAAAGTTGCATCAAAGTCGTGCTTCAAAGTTGCACTGGAAATTGATAATGTGAATGGAGCCTAAGAGAGCAAAGACAGGAGGACTGTCCACTGCTGAACCGGAGTTCCTAATAACGTTTTGAACATAAACATTTAGTTTCATTTGAATTAGTACTAATCTTCATGAAGTTGAAATATCTTCTTGCGCCTTTTTCAGTCCAAAAAAGGTGGCCTGGTGATGATAGTACATTGCTATTTAATTGGACTCTGAAACATCAGTGGATGTGACTGCAGAATATTTGCTTCTAATGATTGTATTCGCAGCTACTCTTAAAATACTCCTTACTGTGTTTTTTGTCTGTCCTTTAGGCTGAGTGGAGGGAGGAAGTAAAAAAACATTTTGAAAAGATTAAAAGTGAGGGGACCTGCATCCACCGTCTGGATGAGGAACTGATCCGCAGACGGAGAGAAGAGCTACGGTGAGATCTCCTACATACATTTTATGGGGGTTACCTTTTTCAGAAAGCATGTATAATGTTTCAGTGCAAATTGTGGCTGGTATGGGTAACTTTGCTTTGCAAGAAAAGCTGGTTATATACTACTAGATTTTCAAAGGATCATCTGTACAAAAATTTGTATGAAAGTTCTTAGTGACGGCCTGACAAAAGTATGCAATACTTTATTTGCTTTTAACATTCAATTTTGGAACAAATGGACCTGCCAAACAAAGACTACATACATTGTTAGAAATTTGTTCATTCGAGAAAAGTTACACTCTGCTCCATTAAATTTTCTTGTCACTGTGGTCAAAAACTATTGTCGATTTGTTTTTTTTTTTTTTTATAAATATTTATTGATTTTCAATCCATATACAAGTCATTTCAACATATCTATTAAAATATTTATCAAAAACATATTTTCTCCTTATAAAATTTATTCCTATATATGGCTTTCTTTTCATACCATCCCCCCCCTCCCAAATACCCCCCCCCCCCTCCTTCTCCCCGTCCCCTCCCTTCCCTCCCTCACCTTCCCACGCTCCATATTCTCTCTTCTCTCATTTACTCCATATGATTCTGTTATTCTTAAATCCAATTCTAAACCGACTACCCGGGACCTTATCTCTTCACCTTTTTCGCCATTTCTTTATATTCTCCCCATCCTTTCCATTTTTTATTGTACATCTCCAACTTATCCTCGTGCATATAATACAATCTTTCTGTCCCAGAAATCTGGTTTACTCTACCCATCCAGTCTTCCTCAGTTGGCACCTCTCTTTTCTTCCAGTACCTGGGTATCAAGCTCTTTGCTGCGGTTAAGTAGTACCATATCCCTGACCTCTTATATACTTTCACTGGGAGTTCTGAGATATGGAGGAGGCATAATTCTGGGTCTAATCCTATATTGATTTTAGTAATCTTCCCTATCAAGTAAACTATCCTTCGCCAGAACACCTGTATTTCTGGACACTCCCACCACATATGATACCACGTGCCCACCTCTCCACAATCTCTCCAACACATCTGTGAAATTTCCGTATTCATCTTGTGCTCCAGGTAAGGGGTAATGTGCCATCTATTCAAACATTTATAATTTATTTCCACTTCTCTCATACTAATATTTTTTTCGTGAATTAATGTGAACATCTTCTTCTTCTCCTCCTCCTCTATTTTTCTTCCCATATCTCTTTCCCATTTCTCTATGTGCATTAATTTTGTGTGTGTATCAAGTTCCATTAATATCTTATGTATTTTTGCCGTTCCGTGTCTACCATTTCCCCGTGACTCAAAAATTCTCTCAAATGGATTCCAATCTTTTCTAGTTCTTATAGGTTTTGGAAGGCTTTCAAAAAAGTTCTTCAGTTGGTAATATCTTAATCTATCCATCTTATTAAAGACTTCACCCTTTCTTTCCTCCATATCCTTATATGACCCAATTTCCTCTCCTACCATTATATCTCTCAATTGCGCCTCCTGTTTTATAATCCATTTCCCTGCTATGCTATCTTTACCCGGGATGAAATATTTTGTGTTCCTAAGTGGTATTAGTTGTGAATTAAAAACCCACCCCTTTTGTCTATGTAATAAATCCCATTCTTTTAAAACAATAAAAGTGTACGTGCTTGTGCTCTCCTCTAATTCTCTGTATTGTGCAGGCACCCAGATACTATTACTCAAACTTATTCCACTCAGTGTTTTCTCAATTTTGACCCAACTTTTCTCCGGATTATGAATTCAATCGAAGATTCTTGCAATAATCCCCGCTTTGTAATATCTCCTAAAATCTGGTACCCCCAGTCCTCCTCTTTCTTTACTTCTAGTTAACGTTTCATACCCTATTCTAGGCTTTTTATTCCTCCATATATACATTTTATTATCATTTTCTTCAGTTCTTTAAAATATGCCTCTGGGAGTTTGATTGGGATCATTTGAAATTTATATAATACTTTGGGGACAATTACCATCTTTATCAAATTTATACGACCTATCCACGATGGATTTCCATTTCCCACCCTCCTCAGCTCCTCCTTAATTTCATTTAATAATTTATATAATTGGCTTTATAAAGGTTTTTATTTGAGGTTGATAATTTTATTCCTAGATATTTTAATTCTTTGTCTCTCCAAAGGAAAGGGAATTCCTCTTGTAGTCTTTCTTTTTCACTGTTTTTGAGATTTATGTTTAAGATTTCGGTCTTTGTCGGATTAATTTTCAGGTTCGACAGGTCTCCATACTCCCTCAATGCTTTCATTAAATTTGGAAGTGATGTTCTAGGGTTTCCAACATAAAACATCAGGTCGTCCGCATAGGCCACTACCTTGTGTTCTCTATCACCTATCTTTATTCCTTTTATGTCTATGTTCTTTCTAATCATGGACAGTAAGGGCTCCAGTGACAACACGTATAGCAGTGGGGACAATGGGCATCCCTGTCTTGTACCATTTGACATCTTAAAGTACTCTGATCTTCCTCCATTTACCATTATGGTAGCGGTAGGCCCTCTATACAACTCTCCAATCCACCCTCTCATTCTATCTCCCACTCCCAACGCTTCCAGAGTGTCAATCATAAAACCCCAACTCACTCTGTCGAATGCCTTCTCAGCATCTATCGACATCAGTATCATTGGGGTTTTCCCTTTTTTGCCCTCCTGTATAAGCAACAGTGATCTCAGAGCATTATCTCTACCCTCTCTTCCCGAGACAAACCCCACCTGGTCTCCATGTACCCACTCCGGCATCAGCTCTTTCAGTCTATTTGCCAGAACCTTTGCATATATTTTCGTGTCTACATTCAGCAGCGCTATGGGACGATAACTCGCACATTGTGAGGGATCTTTATCTTCTTTCTGCATCAATACTATATTCGCCTGTAAAGACTCTCCCCTTATCTTCATCCCGTTCCCCAAGGCGTTCATATAAATCTTCATTTTGGGAATTAAAAGCTCTTTATATTTTTTATAGTATTTGGCCGTATATCCATCCGGACCTGGGCTTTTCCCTCCCGCCATGCTTTCTAATGCTAATTTTATTTCCTCTGTGGTTATTTCTGCCTCTAGAGAGTTCAGTTGTGTTTCTCTTAATTTCGGTAGGCCTGCCTCCTCTAGGTATGTCTTTCTTTTCTCTCTATTTACTGTTTCCGTTTTCCTGAACGTATCCTGAGGTATGATATTATACAACTCATTATAGTACTCTTTAAATATTCTAGCAATATCCTTGGTTGAGTGTACAAATTCCCCCTTGGGGTTTCTTATTTTCTCAATATAATTTCTATTTTTCTTCTTTCTTAAAGTTCTCATTAAATACTTTCCCAGCCTATCTCCCCATCTATACCTTTCACTTGTTATTTTATTAAAGACTCTTCTTTTTTCCTCCTCCATTACATTCTCTAATTCTTCTTTCTTCTTTATTAACCTCTGCATTATCTCCTTAGTTCTTTCCCTTTTATGCACCTGTTCAAGATCATATATTTCATTTAATAATCTATCTATTTTTCTCTCCTTTCTTTTTTCTTTTTTGCCCCCATTGCAATAAGTAGGCCTCTGATGTAAGCTTTATGTGCTTCCCACACCGTTGCAACCGACACATCCTCTGTTTCATTCTCATCAAAAAACCATTCAATTTCTCTCTCAATTCTTTGACCAATCTCTTCCTCCATGAGAAGTGCCTCATTCAACCGCCATACATAACCTTCTCTCCCTTCTCTACCCCATCTTAACTTCATAGCAACTGGGGCATGATCCGACAGGGTGCTTCCTTCAATTTTTACTTCTACCACCGACTCTATCACTCGATGTTCTACTAATATGTAATCTAATCTAGAATAAGTCTCATGTACGTGCGAAAAGAAAGTATAGTCTCTCTCCTTCATATTCCTAATTCTCCAGATGTCCACCAACTGACACTCATGCATCAATTTCTTTAACATTCTCAAGGATTTGCTTTCTTCCCTCCTCACAGAGGAAGTGGTATCTATCCGTGGGTCCATGCAGATGTTAAAGTCTCCCGCTACTATCATACACCCACTTTTAAAATCCATCAATCTCTTCAGCACTTCTCTCATAAACCTCTCTGGTCTCTTATTTGGGCTGTATATATTTGCTATTGTACACTCAATTCCCTGAAGTTTACCTCTCAAAAATAAAAACCTCCCCTCCGGATCCGTTAATCTCTCCTCCACCTCGAACCTTATATATTCTTTGCGAAGCCTATAGCAACTCCTTTTACTCTTTTAGTTGGTGAATCCGCATAGAACCATGTTGGAAAATGTCTAGTCTTCAGTCTAACCTTCGACTCTATCTCTAGATGTGTTTCCTGCAAGAATACCACTGAGGATTTTCTATGTTGAAGTTCTTTAAATAACCTGAATCTCTTTCCTGGGGCAGCTTAACCCTTTTACATTATAGGTTATATATTGGATTTCTTCCATCTTACTCTTTTCCTACCGTCTCCCTCTTCCTCCTTCCCTTCCTCTTTCTTATTCCTATAGAGCGTTTTTATCCCTCTACCCTTTTCTCTCTCCCTCCCCCTCCTCCCTTCTCCCAGTACTCCCCCCATTCCCTTTCCTCTCCCTCCCCTCCCTCCCCCTCCCACACCACCTCTCCCCGCCTCCCTCCCCCCTCTTTTTAGGCCTTTACTTTGCCTAACCGTCATTTGTGGAAGTAGCATCCACCTTTGACTTAAACCTTAGGGCTTTACTCTTCCCATGGACAGGCTCCCCTCCATCCAGGTCCCCCCCTTGACCCCCTCTCCACTCATCTTTCTATAGGAGGAAAAAGGAGTCAAGATGGAGGGATAAGGGGAAGAAAAAAAAAAAAAGGGGCGACGAAATGGGAAGCAAGAAGAAAGAGAAAAAAAAAAAAAAAACACTTCTCTCCCCTTCACTCTCCCTCTCCGCCCCCTCCCCCTCTCCCCCATCCGTCTCCACCCCTCCCCTCCTTCTACTCTTTCTTCCCCAAATTCTTCTTCCCAACCCCTTATTTCAATTTTCTGCATTTCAAGTCTATTGCAAAAGTTTCTCAAGTCCTCTGGGAACCTCAAATGGGCTGTTATTCCATTTTTCCATCCTATTAAACACTCCGGAACTCCCCATCTATATTGCACCTTCTGTTTTTTTTCATCTGCTCCAGCAAAGGCCTCAGAACTCTCCTCCTCCGGAGAGTCTCTGATGACAAGTCCGCATATATTTGAATATCCATTTCTCCATACTTTATTACTGGTTTTCCCTTAGTGTTCCTCCAGATTTTTTCCCTTTGTTGTAATTCATAAAATTTTACAAGTATGTCTCTCGGCCTGTCTTTCTCATGATTCCCCTGGAGTTTCCCGTTTCTAGAGATTCCTTCTATATTAGTCCTTTCCATTTCAGAGTTTCCCATTATAAAGTTCAGTATTTTGCAGACCATCTCTTCTAGTATTTCTCCTTTTAAACTTTCCGATACCCCTCTTATCCTTATATTTCTCCTTCTTTCTCTATTTTCTTGAATTTCCGCCTTATACTGCAATTTTTCCTGAGCTTTTTCCATATTAATTATCTTCTTCTCTAATTCGGAAATAATCTGGGTCTGGTTTTTAACTTTCTGCTCCGTTTCTTCCACTCTTAACAACAACTGCCCCAGATCATTCCGAATTTTTACCATTTCTTGCTTTATTGTTCTCTCCAGATCTTTGAACATTTCTGTCATCTCTCTTTTATTTGGGATTTGTAATTCTGTTTCTGTCTCTGATATTTGTTGATTACTGATATCCAGTCCCATTGACTGTTTAGGACTATTTTGCATACTTAAATCAGACTCTCCTTTGTCTTCTCTGCTCTGGGGCCTTTCTGGGGTCACATTTCCCTGGGATGTGTACTTTTTAATTGTCCCCGTTTGTGTCCCTTTAGGCCCGGTTCCCTTTGGACTTTTATTTTTCATTTCTTGTGTAACCTTTATTTCTCTTATAGACTTATACTTTGCAAAACGAAGAAATTAATGAGGTGTAGAGATAGAATTCCCAGCTTTGTCTTCCCATCCTTCTGTATGCCTTTGCCTGTGCCTTGCGTTTATCTCCTTATTTTTTATTCTTATTCTCTGGGGGTCCCCCCCTTTTCTTTCTCTCCCGGCTTTCCTCCAACTCTATACAGTTTTTGTGTTTGGGGCCACAGCCAGACTCACTCACCCCACCAACGCTTCTCGTGAGACGGCTCCAGGCTCCTTCCTCCAATTCCTTCAGCAGGTCCGCTCTCTTCCTCTCAGGGGGACCCTCCAGGACTTTTCTCCATGCTCTTCTGAGTAACGCTGGAGGTTGTAATGATGGAGGAGGCAGTATAGCTCTGGGAGCTGTAGTACTAGGGTGCTGTGGAGCGCTGGGAGTTGTAATGTAGGGGGCTGTGGCACGCTAGGAGTTGTGATGCAGGGGGCTATGTAACGCTGAGAGTTGTGGTGTAGGGGGCTGTAAAACGCCGGGAGTTGTAGTGCAGGGGGTTGTGAACCCACTGGGAGTTATGGTGGAGGGGGCTGTGGAACGTTGTGGAACGCTGGACTCTGGGAGTTGTGGTGGAGGGGTTTGTAGAGCAGAGGGCTGTTATTTCCTCTGCTCTCTCTGTCAGCCACACTGTCTCTCACCTCACCACAGCACTTCAGGACTCTGGGGCAGCTGGCCGACACAGAGTTCAGCGTCTCTCCCTCCTCCTGTCAGATGCCGGCCGGCTTCCTCGGCTCCCAGAGATGCATAGCGGGCCGGCCACGCACTCGAGCCGCGCCCCCTCACCTCCCGGAACCCAGACACGCCGTCACTGCAGGGCTGCACACCAGCTAATCTCCGGCTCCAGGGTCTCCCCTCTCACGGACCGCCACTCTTCCCAGGGTGTCCACTAGGCATAGGTAGGTCTCACCCTGCTGGTTTTTACATTTCCATGGGGGCCTGAGGGGGATCGGACAGAGGAGCTAATCCGAGAGCTCCTACCTCGAGCTCTCCTCAGCCGCCATAGTCAGGCTCCGCCCCAACCCACTGAAACTATTGTCGATTTGATCCCACTAATGATTAGAAAAATGAAAAAAACGTTTAACTAAAAAAAATGCTGCATAAAACTCTCTCTATTATTCGCCTTTCTGAGCATAGTATAGATTCTTACCTACCATGTTACAAGACAGTAGTGGCCTGATTATCACTAGCCAATGGAGGCAGCCCTAAACACCCAACATTTCTGATGTCAACTATATGGTTAGTGTCCAACCCCAATTGGAGACAATGCTGGCTTATAGGAATAAGTCACATAAGAGATTCCATTTCCAATGGGATACCTTGTGATTATGTCTAAAAGGTCATTGATACTCATAGTCAATTTTTTTTATCTCTCTTTGTTAATGTTACTTTTTTTTTGTACCTTATCTTCTAATTGAGAACAAAAAGTAGCATAGTGTGTCTGAAAATGCATAATAAAGTGCTATAATGTGTGTGTTTTTGAAACTTCTCTGACAAGACCCTTAACTTGATCTTTTTTCCATGTAATTAAATTAACATTTGTTGGAAGACCTTTGTTTTTATTCAGTTAGGGCAATAAGCAAAAACCATATGTAGAGTGAAGTAACCCATAATGAACAATCAGATTTTAACTTACTGAAGACAGATCAGTAAAAATAATTCTTATTGGTTGCTCGTTAGCTCAACGTGTTAATGTGAAAGAAACATTATTTATTATTATTATTATACAGTATTTATATAGTGCCAAGGGTTTGCTCAGTGCTGTATATTATAATGGGAAACATAAGCACATTATGAGATCAGGAGTCGCAATGTATAGAATCAATGTTTGCAGTAAAATTTACAGTTCTGTGGCTTAAATGTATATCTAATAATGTATGAATTATTTACAATAGACATGCACTGGATATCCGTGAACACTATGAACGTAAGCTGGAGAGAGCCAATAACCTATACATGGAGCTCAGTGCTATCATGCTTCAGTTGGAAGTCCGAGAAAAGGAGCTAATCAGGTACCTGAATTAGAGTTGATTTGATTCAAATCACAAACATATTTATGAAAAATTAGTATTTCCCCAATAGTAATGTGTATATGTGTATATCAGTGTTAAAAGTTCCTTATGCATGAAAGTGCTGCCCTCCAAGGTGTCCTCTGAAACTTCTTTTATATGTCAGTTCAGCTGCACAGATTGACATAAAAAGGCAATGTCCCAATATGACATACATGTTATAAAATGCCCATGGTATGCAGCAAAAAACAGTTCATATATGTACCCATTTATTGTTTAACCACTAGCCTACAGGGCACCTATACCCCTCTTCCTGCCCAGGCCAGTTTTGAGCTTTCAGCGCTGTCGCACTTTGAATGACAATTGCGCGGTCATGCAACAGTGTACCCATATGAAATTTTTATCATTTTTTTTAGACAGATAGAGCTTTTTTTGGTGGTATTTAATCACCTCTAGGTTTTTTATTTTTTGCTAAACAAACCCAAAAACAACTGAAAATTAAAAAAAACTAAACTTTTTTTCTTAGTTTTTGTTATAACATTTTGTAAGTAAGTGATTTTTCTCCTTCACTGATGTGCGATAATGAGGCTGCAGTGATGGGCACTGATAGGCTGCACTGATGGGCACTGATAGGTGGCACTGATGAGGAGGCACTAGTAGGTGGCACTGATGGGCATTGACAGGCATCACTGATGGGCACTGAAAGACAGCACTCATATATGGCACTGATAGGCGGCACTGATAGGTGGAACTGATAGGCGGCACTGATAGGCGGCACTGACTGGCATTGATAGGCGGCACTGACGGGCACTGATAGGTGGCACTGACTGGCACTGATAGGTGGCACTGGCAGCACTGATAGGTGGCACTGACTGGCACTGATAGGTGGCACTGAAAGGCAGCTCAGATGGACACTGATATGTGGCATTGATGAGGCCACTGATGGGCACTGGCAGGTGGCATTGATGGGCACTGGCAGGGGGCATTGATTGGCACTGGCAGGAGGCACTGCTGGGGCTACACTGATTATCAGGTCACCCTGATGATCAGTGTACATGTCCCCTCTGAGTAAAGCTGATTACCGGCTCTCCTCTTGAGCTGTCAGCGTGACGGCTCGTGAGGAGAGAAATGCCGATAACTGGCATTTCCCTATTTACATGTGATCAGCTGTGATTGGACACAGCTGATCACATGACCAAGCCGACATCTTCGGTTCTTTCGTTTGATCGGTGATCTGCTGTGTCCCAGGGACACACCGCACCACCGATCGCCGCGCTGCCCGCTCCCAGAGCCGCGCATGCGGTTAGAGTGGGAGGACGTCATATGGTGTCCTCCCAGAATGATAGAACCGCCTTGCGCCCGTCATTAACTTATATGGCGGGTGGAAGGCGGTTAAAGGAGCTTGTTTTGCTGTACTTCTCTGGATCACAGGAGTGCAGTTGTTATCACTTTCAGCCAACAGCAAGTTGATATCACCATATGGTTGGGATCCACCCTGGAGTCTGGACTGGCACCTGGCTCAGCCTCTCAGTGAGCTGCTGAGAGCTTGAGCCAGCCATTCCTGCCCCCTTTACAGCCCAGTGCTTCAGTGAGCGTTGGGGGGCGGGCAGAACAGAGAGCCAGAGACTGACAGTCCCGGCTCTCTGCTCGGAGCTGCAGGCAGAAATGAGCAAGAACTGGCAGGGGACAGATGCAGCATTGGATCAATGCTGCATCCACCTAGGTAAGTATAAGTAAAAAAACAAATTAGTTTGCTAGGTTTAAGTCATTGGTGTTCATATTAAGCTTTCTTAACCTGGCACCTGACAAGATGAATTCTCTACCAGTTGGCCTCATCCACACAGGTATATCGCAATGTCTGTTTTTAAAGTGATATTAAAGGCAATTAAAAAAAAAATAAAAAACATGTTTTTTACTTACCTGCTCCATGAAGTGGTTTTGCACAGAGCAGCCCCAATCCTCCTCTGCTCGGGTCCCCCACTGGCACTCCTGGCCCCTCCCTCCTGCCAAATGCCCCCAGAGCAAGCAGTTTGCTATGAGGACACCTAAGCAGGCTTGCTCCTGAGCCACTGCTCTGCGTGTCTATTCAGACACAGAGCTGTGGCTCGACCCTGCCCCCTCTCTCTTCATTGGCTTCCGCTGCTGTCTCTGCCAAAGAGGAGGGAGAGTCCCTGGAGAGCGGAAGCTTTTGTGCACATCGCTGGATCGTTATGGGGCTCAGGTTAATATTGGGTGGGGGGGCTGCTGCACACAGAATGTTTTTTTTTACCTGCATGCATAGAAAGCATGAAGGTAAAAAACCTTGAGCCTTTACAACCACTTTAATGTTGAGTGAAAGTTTAGAAGGCTTTACGTAAACACAGGTTCGCTGTAAACTGCAGTATTAAAAGATAAGTTCACCTTCGGGAATGTTGCATGTTCCACCCGTTTTTAGGGTGGAAACATGTAACATGCTCCCGCCGCTGCCCAATCCCCCTCCTCCAAGTGACAGCAGTACGGGGAGAAGTTCCCTGTACTAGCTGTCACTTTTTGAAAACAGAACGGCTGTGCGGGGCTACACCCACACGGCCATTTCATTCATTCACAGAGCTCTGTGAATGAATGAACTACAAGTCCCGACAGCAGCAAAGGTAGCAACTAAGCGCTGCGGTAATTCATTGAATCTTTCTGTCAGACTATCTGTTTGCCTGCATGGCATGTACGAGCACACAGATACACTGACAGTTTGTAGTAGTCCTGTATGGCACCAGTGATCTGCTGATTGCTGGTGCAATGCTTTCCAAGCTCAAAAAACAAATAGTAAATGCACATTTTTTTACCTGCAACAAAATGGACATTTAATTTGTTTTTTTTAAAAAGATCCTTTAAATCATATATAAACTCAAACACATATTATATTGCAGATTACCAATCCTTAGATGTGGTGGCTGCATTTGTTTTTTTTCCTTTATTTTTTTTTACCTGGAATACTACATGGAGGTGTATTATTTGCAGGTAAAAGTGCACGTCTGCATGTTTTTATTTGCTGTAGCTATGGGGGCAGTCATGCTTGGCACAAAGGCCAAACTCAAAAATGCATGGTGGATTTGTAAGACTGGTACTTTACATAAAAAATATATTTGTGCTTTCCATTAAGTTCTCAAGAAGTGACAGGGACTGCATTTCTGGCAAGATCAACTGGTATATACTTAAAGTGGAATTCTGGGCAAAATATAAATCCTTCTGGTTTGTTGGGAGTAGAAATAGTTGGAACCTTTATCAGATATTTTTTTTTTTTACATGAGTCTGTTTCCCCACTGGAGAAATTTTCCCTTATTTCTTGTTGTGTAACTGGGACCAGAAGTGAAAGTCTTTCAAATGGGGACAAAAACTGCAAAAAAAAAGCTTTTTTATTAGTAAAATGGGGATGGGGTAGAACCTCGTTCTGCTTTTTGTTGTGGCTTTGTTGCATCCATCAACAAATTCTGTAGGTCTCTTGTTATTTATTTAGTTTGAAGTATGATGTTTTTTTATATTGCTGCAATCATACCCATACTCTTCAATTTACTGTATGATATAACAAATATGATTTATGCACATTTTGTAACACTGACAACATTGCATTTTTTTTTAGGCGTGAACAAGCTGTAGAGAAAAAATACCCTGGAACTTACAAGCGCCACCCTGTCCGCCCGATAGTTCATCCAAATACTGTTGAGAAATTGATTAAGAAGAAAGGGGTACCTTCTAAATCAACATCTCACACTAGACGGTATGTAACTGTTAAAGCAGTTGTAAACCACCCTCACATATACCCAGTGAAGTGACTGGCCTCAGGTGATACACAGAGAACAAATCCTCCTACATAAGTTGTACCTGTCTATCTGCAGTCTTCTCTTTTCTACATCCAAAGTGCTGAATTTATATAGCATGTCTGAGAGTTAAAAAAAAGGGGTCGGAGAGCTTAAATGACACTGTACAGAGCTCAGTGAAGAGAGCTTTGAGAGCTGATTGGATGGAAGGAACATACCCCCCTTCACACAGCTCACAGGAACAGAGCTGAGGCTGTTAATCTGCTGGAGATCCCTCCCCTGTCACCATTTTTCTCTTGATGTCAGGAAAACTTGTCAGAAGTGATTCATGCTGACAGCGGAGGAAGGAAGCATTAGACAGAAATGGCACTTAGTGTTCTAACTGAGACAAGTACACACTATGGGGGGATATGCTTTGCTCATATTTCATGTCAGAGGTTTAAACTTCCATAGGTTATATATGTTCACTCAAACTCTGAAAGCTGAGTCCATCCAATATATATATTAGTTCTATGATTGAAGCACAAAGGTTGAATCAGCCACTAGCTTCTCATATATCTTCGGAAATCTACACCCGATTTTCCAGCTCTGCTTTCATGATTTGGCTGTTATAAGTTAGTTTCAATCTTATTGCTGGATTTGTTGTGGGTGGGTTTTTTTTTTATAATCTTGAATTATGGAAAATAGAACTAGCATCCCAATTTACTTAGTAATAGATACTTAGAGATGGAGGGAAGGAGGGTGTGAGTTTATTACTAAAGTTCCCAAGACTTGTAAGAATCCAGTGTGTGTGTGGGGGAGGGGGGGGGGAGTTAAACTGAATAGCATCCTTGAAAAATAAATGACAATTTTGGGTTGGATTACCCTTTCAGAAAATAACCACAAACTCATTGTTTATCAGGCCTGACCTATTGAAATCAGATGGCATAGCCAGCGTGGAGGCAAATGCACCCAGTTCATCTCCCATATCTGGAAGTCCAAAGATATCATCAGGTGGGAAGAGCCGGTATCGAAGCAAGCCACGTCATCGGCGAGGGAACAGCAAGGGCAGTCATGGTGACTTTATGGGCATTTCAAAAAACCAGGACTCTCCTTCCCCTTCCCAAGCTGCTCGTCATCTTTCTCCTGCATCTCCCCCATTCACCCCACCAAGTCCCCGCCACGATCAAGTCCAGCCCACATTTTCTCGACACCAAACTCTTAATATGCATGGGCAGAATATTGCCAACTGTGCCAACAACCTACGATACTTTGGCCCTGCAGCTGCACTAAGAAGTCCTCTGAGTTGTCATGCTCAGCGGTGTATGTCTGGCTCTAGCCCTGACCTCCTCTCCAGCACACTGGAGGCTGACAGCCGCTTACAAACAGAAAACAACTGGGAGCCCTGTCAGCAAGACTCTTCCAACTCTTGCCTAAACTGTGCTGAAGCCTCTTCTCAGCCCAACCTGAACCCAGAATCTTGGGAAAATTCTAGAAGTGAAAATCCAGAGCTAAGAAACGCTGAGGGAAACCCACCAGAGTCACAAAGGCACAATCATATGCAAGAAGGAACCCAGGTTCAGATGACTGGGCTAGATCAACTTCCTATCATTAGGGCAGCAGTGGGAGTGAGTTCTTTAACCATCCCAACACCACCTGCTCTCCCACGAAGGATAAACGCACTCTTAGAAAGGTAATTTCAGCCTATTTTTGTTTATATAATTGTGATAATGGTCATTTTTGCCTTATGTAGGCTATAATTAATTTAGTAAATATATGTCTTAATGGCAGCGAGATTTCACTGATGCATACTGTCATCTGAAACAGTGTTGGATGGGTAAGATCTAAATTCTCCACTTGCATTCTCTACTAGCAATATAAGTCTAAAACAGTAGCTGCTATGCATTTAAAGCCATTTTCTGCCTTAGATGTTCATATAAATAGTCTTATTTGAAAAGCCATGAAAAAATATGAAGGCTGTCATTGGTGAACTTTGAGTTCAATTTACACTTTGATATGCTGCTATAGAATTTCCCAAAACAACTCCATATTCATTGGTCCCTTAAAGTATACCAGCTAGGCCCTGAGGTAGGAAAGGAGTCTCTTACCTTTATAAGCCTTCCTCCAAGCATTAGAAATAGTAATACCTAACTTCTGTTACATTCTTGTGAAGATATCATTAGAGTAGAACTAAAGGAATTTTTTTTTACAGTTTGGAAAGAGTAAGATAGGGTATAACCCTTCTTGTTGGTTTTTTTTTTTTTGCCATATGTGTATGGTTGTGGAGATTTCCCCTCAATACCTGTCTCATAGCCAAAACAAGAGGTGAGAGGAAATGCCTCCAAAGCGAGGGAATCCCTGGTTGTCACTAAGGTTACCAGAACTAGTGTCCCCATTGCAAGATTTACCCTTTTTCCTGTTCTGCTAACAACAAAAGATGAATTCTGTACCAGTTGGCCTCAATCACACAGGTATATCTCAATGTCTGTCTTTAAAGTGATATTAAAGGCAATTAAAAAAAAAATAACAAACATGTCTATACTTACCTGCTCCATGCCCACCAGCACTCCTGGCCCCCCCCTCCTGCCAGATGCCCCCAGAGCAAGCAGCTTTCTATGAGGACACCCAAGCAGGCTTGCTCCTGAGCCACTGCTCTGCGTGTCTATTCAGACACAGAGCCGTGGCTTGACCCTGCCCCCTCTCTCTTCATTTTCTCACTGGCAGTGATTGACAGCAGTGGCTTCCGCTGCTGTCTCAGCCAAAGAGGAGGGAGAGTCCCCGGAGAGCCAAGGCTTTTGTGCACATCGATGGATCGTTATGGGGCTCAGGTAAATATTGGGTGGGGGGCTGCTGCACACAGAATGATGCCGCACCTTTCTAGGACCTGTGACGTGTCTCAGAAGGCTGCAGGGGAAGAAGGGGGACCACTTCTGCTCGGATCACCACGCCGATCCAATTGGAAGTGGGAGCGCATACCTGTCCTGTGCCTACCCCCATCCCAAAAACAAATATACCAAATGTGAAGGAGGACTGGGGAAGGAGGAAGAGAAGAACGTTCCGTTTTGGGTAATGTCTTAGAGGGATACATACTTTTCCTATGTTCCTTACTTCGAGTGTCTAAGGGATCACAAGACTTTTGTCATAGCTCAATATCTGGAAGTGTTTGATATGACAAGATACATGATGATCAGGACTAAAATTCTGCCATGTTAATTCATTTTCATTTGCACTCAACATTTTGTAACTTTCCAAGAATAAAGACAAAGATGGGCTATAATAGTAATCAATAACGTGCACATATGCAAGTACATAAAACAATGGGAATAAAAACTGTACAAATTTAAAACTAAAGTTCAACTAAAAACAATTGCTTTAGTGAGCTCACTTACCTGTACTAAAGTATATCCCATGTTGTGCAGGCAGCTGGATCCTGTCGAAATCTTCGCTGTAGGGATGATCCATCCTGTTCCTGTCTCTGAACTCCGGAAGTTAAAAGTTTCGGGTCTTCTGTGAAGCTGCTGTGAAAAAGTTCCCGATGAGGAGGACCTGTCTCCTTCTTTATTGAGAAATGTTCTTTCATTGCTTTCACTACCAGTAACACAATTTGTGAATGAGGGAGAGTATGATGAGTCACATGATTCTCTCCCTCCATTGCAGATTGTCACAGGCAGTGAAAGCAATGACAGAAAGTTTTTCAATGGGGGAAGGGACAGGTCCTCCTCATCAGGAACAATTTCACAGCAGCTTAATAGATGACCCAAAACTATTAACCCTCACAGGGCCAGAAGTTCAGAGACAGGAAGAGGACAGGCATTCCTGAAATGAAGATTTCTTTAGTATTCAGCCGCATGCATGATGTGGGACATACTTCATTACAGGTAAGTTAGCTCACTAAAAGATACATATTATTTTATTATTATTATTGTTATTTTTTTTTTGGGGGGGGGGGCTTAAACTTCAGCTTTAATGATTAAAAACAAATACATTCATGAATAATGTAATTTCATAAATGAGAACATTATTGTTTTAACATATAAAAAGCCCAGCTCTTGCTGTCTGTTGGGGAAATTTTCCTTTTCTTCTTTTCCTGGTCACATCCAATGACACCCTGACACCTGTGCTTTCACAGAGAAAGGTGGTGAGAGGAACACACACATCAGTGAACAACCATTAGAGGTTCTAACTCTTCTCTAAACATAGAATATAAAATATCATTTGGGCTGAATTTGAATTTAAAACAGTGACAGAAATGTATTGTAGCTGTAGAATACCGGTTACAAGAGTTCCACTTTTAATGAGAAAATGTAAAAGTCTGCAATTTGCAGAAGCCATGAAAGTGTTCTGACTTGGAACTCTTCACAGTCACTTAGTTCAGATTTTGTACAAAGCTTATATATTTTAGGCACCAGAGTGCTTTCTGCTACTCTGTCTTTTTCAGCATGGACTAGAGCTACGTCATGCTGAAAAGACAAAGCAACTACAAACTCTCTAACACATTTGAAGTTTCTTTTTTAATTTGCTCTGCAAACTGTTGATAATTTCAGATTGGGAAATTCTAGCTGCATCTTAGATCTTTTAAATGTTTTTTAAGTACTTGTGTGTCTGTTCCACAGAATGGAGATGAATCATCCGAGGAAGAAGAGGGTGAGGTAGACAGTGAAGTTGAGTTTCCCAGGAGACATCGACCACCTCGGGGCATGAGCAGCTGCCAGTCCTACTCCACTTTCAGTTCAGAAAATTTCTCTGTGTCTGATGGAGAAGAGGGGAACACCAGTGATCACTCCAACAGCCCAGATGACTTGGTCAACAGCCGCAAGGAGCCTTTGGGTGACAAGCTGGAAGACTTGCTATCCCAGACACCCGAAATCCCCATTGAGATCTCAACACAGTCAGATGGGTTATCAGACAAGGAATGTGCAGTGAGAAGAGTGAAGACTCAAATGTCCTTGGGCAAACTTTGTGCTGAGGAGCACAGTTATGAGGTAAGGAAGTGAGCTGAAAATGATAATGTGTGATCAGTGTTTCTGAAACAACATTGGCATTTTTAAAGCAACTCTAGACTTCAGATCAAAAAGTTTAAAAAAATTGCTAGCTTCAAAGAAAGGATTAATATTTACCTGTCCCATGCTGCAGTGACATTTGCAGACCGCTACATCACTGCTGTGTCCTTACAACAGATGGAACCACAGAGCTTAGCAGGAAACCAGGCATCTGAAATACCTGGAAGTGTGTTGAATGCAGATATTTTTCAGGCAACTTAGTTCTTCAAGACAATGAAGACTGATGGTATGGGCTAGGTAAGTATTGGCCTTTTTTTTTTTTTTTTTTTTTTTTTACAGGCACCCTTTATCTAAGGACCCTTTAGAGCATTGCACCTGCGATCAGTAGATTGCAGGTGCAGTGTCAGGCTCCTGCAGACTCACAGGGTAGCTGTCTGCCTGTACCTCCCATATAGGCAGGTAGTTGCTCGAGAGCAGGAAAATCAATGAACTACGAGAGCGTTCACCAGCACCCTCGTAGTTTATTGAGAACTACAAGCCATCAGCTGCAATGGCTCACAGTACTTGTAATCTGTTCATTCAGAGAAAACTGTGAATGAATTAAGCGGCCATGTGGGCGGAGCCCCGCACGGCCACACTGTTTTCAAATTGTGGGAGAGGATCCCCTGCCCGCTGTCACAGAGAGGGGAGGATCAGGGGAGAGAAGCTGCAGATGCTGGAACACGCAGATGCTGGAACACTAAAAACAGGTGGAACATGTAATAGGTCCCAAAGGTGAACTTATCCTTTAAGCAATGCAATGTAACAACAGCCACATTAATAAAACTATGCATTGAGATACTATGTTGCAGGATCTAAGCAATTTAACAAAAATGTAAAGTGAAACATTTGCATCTGATTGACATGAAAGGTCACAGAACCGGATGTACCTTTTAGGCACAGTAGGGCTTTGCCTAGAGGTAACAGAAGTAAAGAGGTGGTTTTTCCTATATAGTTGATGACACCAGATCAGCAAAACTCATACTCCCTGCTGATTGGAGAGCTCTAGCTCTAACTTGATGGAGCATGTCAGGTTTGCGCTTCCATACAGAGACCAGCAATGCTTCTCTTGAGCATGCTGTTTGGGGGCCAGGCTTTTCTACTTTGGCTATGGCTGCTTTACTACCGGTAGAAAACAAAGTGTAAAACTGTAATAGACACATTTTGTTTTGATGCACATTGAATGTATTTAGTCATTTAAAAGGAAAGTACAACTGCGCTTTGAACATCTGGCCATTCTCAGACTAAACCAAAGTTTGTGCCATGACTTTTCACACCCAACATGTGTAATATTACAAAAGTATTAATTTTGTATTTTTTCCAAATATTTACAGAACCCAGGCAATTTTGAGTCTGACTGTGATTCATCAGAAGGAGAGTGTTCTGATGCCACCGTACGAACCAACAACCCCATCAACTCCTCTACCTGGTGAAAAAGTATTCAGTCTACCATGAGGAGTATTCACTTGTCCATATGTTTCCTACATTTAGTCTTGAACTGTTTTAGCAAACAAGACCCTCTACATCCTTTTCCCTTGAGACCTAAGACCTTTCCACTACTAGATGAGGGGCAGCAAATTGTTGCAAAGCAATAAGTTGTTGGTCCTCTGTCCCACCCTCTTTTAGAATTAGGAATAACTGAAGTCTGCAATAATGGGGGCCCAAAGACTTATGGAGGAGCCCTCCTCTAAATGAACAAGCTTCTAAAAGGGAGCATTCAAACCATGAATGGCAGGGATAAATATTTAAGCAAAATGTTCAAGGTACTGTAAAATTCCATATTTATTTTTATTTTGTGTGTGTTTGGACCCTTTTTATTGTAAGATAGGTGAAAAGTATATTAGCACTAAATGAATGGATCACTGGAAAAAAAAAGCATTGCAATGACTCCTATTGGACCTGCAGATGCCTAGAGGTTTTGCTGCTGTTTTTTAGGGACCAAATATTGACTTTATTTTTTCCAGTTTTATTTTGTCTTGAAGATTTGCCCTCTCAATATGAAGTCAGAGGGAGATGCAGAGGCTTAAGAACAAAGCTTTGAACGCAGTATCATTGAAAATAACCTTGTGGACCTGGTCTGTTAGTATTGCTGCATGATCGTCTAAACAGTAACGTGCTAGCAGATAAAAATATGAAGACAAAGACTGGCATTTATCCTTTTGCATTTTCTTAATAAGTAGGGTTGTTTTTCAACAGAACTGTTGGTTAAGAAGTGGACCTTGTCTTCTACAAATCCTTTATCTTTTCAGTCACTGTTAGCAATGACTTACAGGACACAATTGCCCATCTAAGCAAAACCCGGACCAGCAGACGTGCAGCCATCTTTAAGCTGTAATGGGTGTATGTTTTGGGCAAGCTTTTGCAGACTTTGTTTGAAGATACCAGCACTTGGAAAACTCCCGTGATGTCTAGTTATTTTTTGTTTCTTCTAAATAAAGATCAGATATCAGGGGGCTGAGAGGTCACCTACCATCCCACTCAGGAGAGATCCCAGCCATATTGTCCATTGCCTCATGAAGGTGACCTTTCCCCTCTCTCCATACACACAGGTCCACTTCCCATAGAGATGATGTCATTATCATTTCATCTTTCATAATTGCCTAAAAGCACATGAAGTGAATTTACAGGATTGTTGGGAATCAAGCATGCCTTATTATTCACGGTTAGTGAAACATTGAAGAACAGTCAAAATGCATCAGGTATGTGCTGAGGAGGTAATCTGACTAATATCCCATGATGCACATCCAACCATCAAGACACAACATAGACTGGACACTTCATGGCCTCAAGAAGTGTCAGTGTTAACAACCTGGGAAAACTGAAAGGAAGCAATCAAATACATATTGCTACTCAAAAGTACATATTTTTGGCTTACCGTTCCCCTCTTTTCACATAATGTTGACTGGACATTTGTTTTTTTGTCTTCAGATATATGATCCAATTATCCTATGGGAGCTACTGCACTTCACTTACGTTACAGGGAACAGAGCTTCTTATTGGCTAATGCAAACATGTTTATGTTTAAAGCCTCTGAACGACTCATTCATATTGTGTTCTGAGAAGATCGATTTTATGTCAAGAGTTCTGCATGTCACACCTTGTCAAAAAGAATCTACTGTATTGTGACAACTCCAAAGTTAATTAGCCAATCAGAATTCGCCATAGGAAGTGGATCATTCTTCCATTAATCGTATTATGGGTTTTTTTTTTCTTATTATTTTGTATTTGTATATATTCAGCCATATTTTTACTATGGCAAGTAATTTATTTCCCTGAAAACCTCAGGACCCAGACTCAGGTGACTTGTGATTTAAAGTGGAGACCCTTTACCTGAAGGCAGTCATTTTGTAGGCTGGACCAATATTTATGAGAATGCAGATGATAATTTCACCAGTGACTAACTGAGTCAAAAGGTACCTAATCCTTTTGTCTTATGAATGTCACAGAAAATTGTGCAATCCACAAAATGGCTACCTCTACCAAGTGTCAGTGATGTGTCCACTTTAAGTTCAGAGCACAGTTTTCTTCCAGTGTAAACCACAGCTCAAGCACCTGAATCTGGCACACATTTATTACTATAAATTTGTTTACACATTTCTGTGAATTTACCCCATCTGCTGCCAGAGGGAACACCACAAGGAAAGTTGTAGAAGTATTACTGCAATTCAGTGAGATCATGAGCAAAATATTGTACAACGGGCTTGAATTTACTTATAAAGTCACATTATCTGGCTTACTTAGGCAAAATAAAGAATAGTGATTGCGTACAAAGTGCAGTAAACTATAGCTACCAATCACATTTCAGATGTTAGAATAGTGAAAGAGGATTACATACTGGCTGTTATAGTTTACTGCATTCTACACAGGGGCGGACTGACCATTTGGAAACTCGGGCAAGGACACAGGGGCCCCATGATCCCCTATTGCCCGGGGGCCCCATGAGTTGTCAGTCCGCCCCTGATTCTACACATTTGTTTGTCTTTATAAATACACACAGATATATATTTGCAGGTGCTATGTGTCACCATGGAATTCAAAATATAATCAATTAAATTGTTAATCTGTTATAATATCAACTAAACATAAAAATAAGGTGCTTAACTACAAAAACAACTCTAGACAGCCAACATTTGTAGTAGAAATAATCTGAAAATATCAAATGAATAATTCTACAGCATTTACAGGCAACAAGTATACGTGGGCTAATGTAGCCTAGTATGACCACAAATTCAGCTCCAGGCTTTGTGTGTGCAGACATCTTTTAGCCTTAAATACCCAAGATGGACTAGGTACCAGCAGATGAAGTCAAGAACAACCTCATCTACCTGATAATCGTTGCAGGTATGGGCATCTTTTAGCCAATGGCTTCTTGTCAGACATTTTGTCATTTTTACTTAAAAAGCAAAACCTTTCAAATAGACGTCTTATTGTTCTTATTGTCTCAGAGTTTACCCATTACCTATACAAAGAGAAGTTTGCTTGTGTTGCAGACAGTGATGCCTTTGCTCCCTAGTAATTTAACATTGGAGATGTTGGCTCAGACATACATTGGCTGCCTTCATCAATGTGACCAACTCACTCTAAAATGGTGCTAATCCATAATTTAATTATATT